TCCAATTATAGTCACAACCAGTTTTTAGGGGCTGAGGCTGTAGGATGAGAGTCCTTATTAAAGTATGATTTTACATGTGATTCAGAGGGACCCAAAAAGGCTATAATAAGGGTTTTTTGGGTTTGGGGTTTTTTTTTTTTTAAATAAATTTATTTATTTTTGGCTGCGTTGGGTCTTTGTTGCTGTGTGCGGGCTTTCTCCAGTTGCAGTGAGCAGGGTCTACTGTTTATTGCGGTGCATGGGCTTCTCATTTCAGTGACTTCTCTTGTTGCGGAGCACAGGCTCTAGGCACGCGGGCTCAGTAGCTGTGGCTCGTGGGCTCTAGGAGCTCAGGCTCCAGTAGTTGTGGAGCATGGGCTTCGTTGCTTGGCGGCATGTGGGATCTTCCTGGACAGGGCTCGAGCCCATGTCCCCAGCATTGGCAGGCAGATTCTAAACCACTGCGCCGCCAGGGAAGTTCTATAATAAGGTTTTAATTAGGGTCTAGTAAAATATTCTGATTAGGTAAATAGGGCAGATGTGTATTAACTAAACCGAAGTACGCAGGTGGACATAACAGAAATAGCCTGTCACTTATGCTCCACAGCTATGTTCCCAAGATTTCCAGAGAACCCATAAACAGCTGAAATTGTATTCTTTGATACCTTTAGTGAGCACACTCAAAGACACTGTCCACACTACATTATTTGCTGCCAACCAGTTTACCCTGCCCCCAAAACGTGTAGACAGGATTCGCTCTTCTCAAACTGCCTGCGGTCTTCTTTCTTGCTTACAAATCCTGCTCTTGTTTTTTGATGTTTCCTCATGGTTAGATCTAGGTTATATATTTTTGGCAAAAATACTGGGTAAATCATATTGTGTCTTTCTCAGAGCATCACATCAGGAGGCACATGGTTTGTTTTGTTTTTTCCCCACTCTTAGTGATATTTTAAAAGGCCTTGTTTTGATTAGAAATGTGGAGTTGAGAAATTCTGATGAGGGAAATAGTGCCAACCTGGTGTAACTACAGTGGAGTGGCAGGAGGACCTGGGGCAGACTGTCAGCGTGTGCTCCACAGCTGAGCCCAGACGTTTTCCACACAGTCTGTCAACAGTGAACCTTTTTCTTTGGTGCCTCTAGTCAGCCTATTCAAGAACTGTTCAGACTGGGGATTCCCTGGTGGCGCAGTAGTTAAGAACCCGCCTGCCAATGCAGGGGACATGGATTCGAGCCCTGGTCCGGGAAGATCCCAAATGCCGTGGAGCAACTAAGCGCATGCACCGCAACTACTGAGCTTGCGCTCTAGAGCCCGTGAGACACAACTACTGAAGCCCACGTGCCGCGAGTACTGCAGCCTGTGGGCCTAGAGCCCGTGCTCCTCAACAAGAGAAGCCACCGCAATGAGAAGCCCGCACACCACAACGAAGAGTAGCCCCCGCTCACACAACTGGAGAAAGCCCTTGCGCAGCAACAAAGACCCAACGCAGCCAAAAATAAATTAAAAATAAATAAATTTAAAAAAAAACTGTTTAGACTGACCTCTTTCCTAGCCCTCAAACATTTTACCTGCAAAAATGTACAAATAAGAGTCACTGTTTCCAGAATTCTTTAGTTTTTTTTAACTTTAAAAAATTGAAGTATAGTTATTTATAATATTATTAGTTTCAGGTGTACAACATAGTGATTCAATATTTTTATAGCTTATACTCCATTTAAAGTTAATACAAAATAATGGCTATATTTCTCTGTGCTGCACAAGAGATCCTTATTGCTTATCAATTTTTTAAAAATAAATTTATTTATTTATTTTTGGCCGTGTTGGATTTTTGTTGCTGTGCTACTCTTCATTGCAGTGCCCGGGTTTCTCATTGTCGTGGCTTCTCTTGTTGTGGAGCACAGGCTCTAGGCGCACGGGCTTCAGTAGCTGTGGCACATGGGCTCAGTAATTGTGGCTCACGGGCTCTAGAGCTCAGGCTCAGTAGTTGTGGAGCACGAGCTTAGTTGCTCCGCAGCAGGTGGGATCTTCCCGGACCAGGGCTCAAACCTGTGTTCCCTGCATTGGCAGGTGGGTTCTTAACCACTGCGCCTCCAGGGAAGCCCAGGAAGCTCGCTTACCAATTTTATACATAGTAGTTTGTATCCCTTAATCCCATCCCCCTATCTTGCCTCTCCCACTGCCTTGTTCCAACTGGTAACCACTAGTTTGTTCTCTGTATCTGTGAGTCTGTTTGTTTTGTTACATACATTCATTTGTTTTATTTTTTAGATTCTACATATAAGTGATAACAGTATTTGTTTTTCTCTGACCTATTTCACTAAGTGTAATACTCTCTAGGTCCATCCACATTGTTGCAAATGGCAGAATTTCATTCTTATGGCCAAGTAATATATCATTGTGTGTGTATACATATATATATATACACACACATATATACATATATATATATATATATATATACACACACACACATCTTCTTTATCCATTCTTCTGTTGATGGACACTTAAGATTGCTTCCATATCTTGGCTATTGTAAATAATGCTGGTATGAGAATTGGGATGCATGTATCTTTTCCATAGGAGACTTCTGTAGTTTTTGCCTTCGTTCCTTGACAACTTCCATGAACGGCCTTGGGCCTCAGTTCCCAAACAGAATCTTCCTATCTAATCTCCATCTTCTTTTAATGGGTAAAATACATTCTTCTGTGTATATATAGTATACATGTCGTTTAAGGAATAAAATGAGCACTACAGCATACCTTAATAGAATAAAATCAGTATTTTGGGAAGCCATCTGTATACACCTTTTCCCTCAACTAATTTTGTATGCATTTTAATAAATTGCAAGACTGCCAGTTGAACAGTGAGTAGGTTAGCCCTCTCAGATATTAAAACATTGTATAAAGATACATAGTTAAAACAGTGGGGTAGATAGAAAAAAATAGAAAAAATGATACACATTGGACGTAAAATAGATTGGTAATCTTGAGTTTGGGTGAGTATAGCGAAAGTAGCTTTCGTACCATGTAGTATGAAGATAATTGGTATGGCTATTTTGTAGGGCAGTTTGGCAATATAAAATCTGAAAGGGGCTCATTCTTTAACCAGCAGTTCCACTTCTAGGAAGTTCTCCTAGGGAAATATTCCAACGTGGACTCAAGGATGCACGTAGAAATTCAAGTCAGCAGTTTGTAATTGAGTAATTGGAGAAACAAACTAATCAACCACTAAGGGAAGGGCTAAATCAAACTGTACCCATCCGGAGAAAAATCAAGCTGCTAGAAGAAGGGGAAAAAAGGTGTATACAATTACGTAAAAGTGCAAGTTAAACTGTTATACTTCTGTAAGACAGTAAGCTTGAAACGGCAGATAGGAAGGTCTGGGGACTTTGATCTGGGTGAAAACTTGGATGTCACTGGTCCATGCCCTGCTTGGAGAGGAAACTATTAGGGTTTTTTTTGTTTTGTTTTGTTTTTTAAATCAACACGTTATAGGCATAAGGAATTTTACCTAAGTGTCATCACATCTAAATGCTTTTATTTAAAGTTCAGTCTCCTTTTCTTGGCTCATCTCCAACCAAGGATGTTTACTGTATCTTACCATTTTCTTTCATAAAATCATCTCAGACATGTCTGTCTGTGTATATATAGGGTATTTTAAACCTAGTTTCAGGATAGTCACAGAGACTCCTAAATGTTCCATTGGTTTGCTACCTGCTGTTCAGTAATCTTTCTTGTAAAGGACAGAATTTGATGTTTTGGTCATGTGGGTACTACTTAGAGGGGGAAAAAAAATCAAGATTGAGTTAATTCTACTCTGATGTAGCCTCAGTTGAAACTTTGAGTCTGCATTGATTTTGAGTCTAAATGTTTAAGGTTCACTCAGCCTTGCCTCTTCTGAAAATAGTTAATAGCCTATTTGTAAATTCAGCTTTGCATCTTTATTTCCCTTGTTATAAACTAAAGGCTTATTCAAAATTGGAGTGATCATTACTGGTGACCAAAGGGTCTACAATAGACATACCACTCCCTGCTCTTTAAAATTAGGTTTCCTTGGATTTTTAAAATGAAAATTTTCATAGCACTAAATTGACTTGTGCTATTTAAAAAAAATCCTAACACCCAGCTGTTAACAGTTTACTTCTAGCCAGGGCACCAGCGTCCCAGCCAGCAGCCAGGAACAGGAAGCCAAACTGATAGAGATGCTACTTCTCTCTGCGGTGGTACTCATAGTACAACATGTGAGTGTATAAAGTTAACATGTTGTACATCTTAGTTTACACTGTATTATATGTCAACTATATTTCAATTTTAAAAAGTGACAAGGAGGGCTCCCCACTGCTGCGGTTACTAGTTAGCAGGGAAGAGTCACCAGCACTGCTTGTGTCTCGCTGGCTTCAAACATCGCTGGAGGTTGAGTGACCCGGGCAGGTCTTGGAGATGACAGCTGCACTGTCCTGGCCATTTCAGTTTTCCCCTAGTCGCCAGCAGTTGCCCGAACTGGGAAGTCTCTGCTTGCAGCGCTATGATGCGCCCACCCGTGAGGCCCGTTGAAACCAAGTTTTCGCATCCCTTGTCTCTGAGTAGAAATATCTCAGGCTTGGAAAGGTTTCCCATGAGGACAGACTCGACGGCCCGAGAGGTCCCTCACCTTGCAAAGCCAGATGCACGCGGTGAAGGAGCACAGGGGAAGCACCTGACCGAGGCGCCCCAGGCGGCTAGAAAGCCAAAAGCTCTCACCTGCCTCTGGTTAGAAAGCCACCTGGAGCAGATAGTGGCTGCTGGAGCGACGTGCCTGTCTCTCCCCTTCCCCCTGCCAATTAACAGACGTTAGGGAAATTCGATGCTTTATTAGAACTCTTTAGATTCGTGTTTGCAAACATTTAACAGGGAGTGGCGGGGAGCGGGGAAAACAAGAACAACCCACACCATTCTTTTCTCAGCTTCTGCAGCAGAATAGGGTTCCAGGAGGGGCTTCCACTTTGACCTTGCCTGGCTCTCTTGCTCCTGGGCCCGAAACGCGTTCAGAACCTGTTAACCGGACCCTGGATAGCTTCGGGGAAGCTCTGGGTGGCCGCCTCCCGGGCTGCGCCGGGGGACCGCTGGGTGGCCGCCTCCCGGGCAGCGCCGGGGAAGCTCTGGGTGGCCGCCTCCCGGGCTGCGCCGGGGGACCGCTGGGTGGCCGCCTCCCGGGCAGCGCCGGGGGACCGCTGGGTGGCCGCCTCCCGGGCAGCGCCGGGGGACCGCTGGGTGGTCGCCTCCCGGGCAGCGCCGGGGGACCTCTGGGTGGCCGCCTCCCGGGCAGCGCCGGGGGACCGCTGGGTGGCCGCCTCCCGGGCAGCGCCGGGGGACCGCTGGGTGGCCGCCTCCCGGGCAGGAGGCTTCTCAGAGCCTGGAAGAAGAGCAAAGAGAGAAGGTCGCACCTGTGTCCCACATACTCTCCACCTAAGGAGTTACCCCTTCGGGCTGCGGGGGTGGGAGCCCGGAATCTGAGAGAACGAGGTCAATTTGCTCCTCTGGATCCCTTACAAAGAGGAAACCTTCTTCCAGTCGAATTAAGAGAATGAGACCGCTGCCCCGGCACAGCCAGGACGCACCAGAATCCCTCCCAAGGAACCCGGGGCCTGCCTAGGGTACCTTTCATTGTACCCGGCCCCGTACTTTGCGCCCGGAGTTGGCGGTGATAGTCAGCCAAGTTCATGATCATCGTGTATACATCCTTCTGGTAATAAGGCCGTCCAAATATCAAGATCTCAGCCTCGCCGTCCGGGTCCCACTGATTAACGTGAAGCAGGGTCTGCGACACACACTCGACATGCGGGATGTGCTCTCCGCCCAGGCCTGCGCAGGAAGCAACGAGATGCTGAGCAGTGGGGCCTGGGAGGGGAGGCAGCGGGGGCCCCGATGCGAGCCAGAGCCGCGAAGAGGCTGCCTGGGCGCGGCCAGCCTGCGGGGAGGGGCGGCCTCGGCCTCACCGCTCGGGCCCGCTCACCGAAGATTGCTTCCACCAGCCAGGCCTCCAGGTGAATTGCCCTCGGACTCTTCAGGTACTCGGAGTGAAACCAGTAGGGCCGCTTGGTGAGGTTACCGAGCACCTCGAA